TCTCTCCCCCTCTTTCTCCCTTCCTTCCCCCCTCTCTAAAAATAAATACATTTTTAAAAATTTAGAAAAAGAGAGTGGGGATATGTCCTGGGGCAGAGGAGTTGGGATGGGAGATCAGATCAGAATCTGCTCTGGGAACTGTGTAACTTAAGACCATTCAATATATCTACTGATTTCATAATAAAAGCTACAGAAAGTAAAGTTAGTCATGAACATCTTGGTGGATAGAGATGATACAGAAGAGATATATTAAAGGGGATATGTGTTAATAAATTTCAGTTTGGGGAACACTGATTCACAGGAAACAGCAGTATTGATGAAGACAAAATTTTGAATCTTTAGGGAAGAAGGTGCCTGGATTAGATCATTGTAGGAAGAGCAGAGCAATATGATTGAAGGCCTGGGAATTGAGGGGTACAGGGGCACATCCCCAAAGATAAATTTCCTTTCATTTAGTTTTGCCCAGGGCCACAGGGCCAAACTCCTGTTGCCGTGTATCTAAATCTCATGTTTTCTGATACCAGACGTGCCCAGGATGAACGTGAGACAGGGTACCTGGTATGTGGGACACGGATCACGTTAGTCCTTCATCTAACCTTCTCTTTTGGGAGGAGGTGGTGCATAGTGGGAGACCCTGGCCAGCTTCTGCTACCGTCAGGTAAAGCCCGCACTGCATGGCCTCAATCTCAAGGCTCTCTGATCTGGCCAAGTCCCCTCCAGGCTCAGGTCTTAATAGGTTTCAGGTATTCACTTCTACAGTAACTCTTCCCCAGGCACAGTATGTGAATGGCTGGCTTGTAAAAATGTGACTTTAAATTAGTGTACCATACATTTAAAGGCCACAGCCGTTTTTCCTCCCTGACTTTTTGTTATGGAACTTTTCAAACAATGCGCAAAGGTCAAGAGAATAATTTAATGCATCTTTGTGTTCTCTTCACCCTTGTTGATGTGCGGATGCCCCATTTTTGGCCAATGGGACTCCTTTCAAGTTAGTTTCTAATTCTTTTGATATGTGTTCACCAGTTTTAAATGGACCATGTCATCAGTCTTGATGCTTTTCTGTTCCTCTGAAAAATCAGAGGCTTGGTGAGCAGAGGACCGGGGCACGTTGGCCCTTCCCACGGACAGAAACATACTATGCTTGCCTTATTGCTGCTTTCATTGCTGCTTAGCAACATTCTTGCCATGATGTGTTTGAGAGATTAATTTTGTAGGGAGCTTCCTGGAATTAAAAGATGGGAGAAAAGCGTGAGGTCGAAACACACACAGGATTTCAGCAGAATAAGACATTTACTAAGCACCTGTTGTGTGAAAGATGCTGGCTCTGCACTGGGGAGGATGGCATGATGACCGAAGGGGGTCGTGGTTATACGGAGGCACCCAAGAGATAGTTGTGAAGTGATACTAAGAGTACCAGATTCTTCAAACTCATAGAAGCAGAGAATAGAGGAGTGCTTACCAGGGACTGGGGGTGGGGGGTGGGGGGAATGGGGAGATGTTGGACAAAGGGTACAACGTTGCACTTATGTAGGATAAATAAGTTTAGAGGGCTGATACACAGGCATGATGACTCTAGTTAATAACACCCTATTGACTATATCCAATATTCAATACAAGCTAAGAGAGTGGATTTCAGGTGCTCTCATCACATGTAAAAAGATAACTATGTGAGGAAATATGTTGATTATCCTGAATGTAGGAATCATTTTGTTATGTATATGTATATCAAATCAAATTTGTGTGTGTTAAATATATATAATTTTTATTAAAATGAAAAGGTATGTAGACTTTAATAATAATAATGGAGAACATGTAATACCATTTTGAATGTTTAAATGTATAATTGATAACTCTTATTTCTCCTATGTTAACAAAGACTTTGAAGGAATATGCATAATAAAAAATGGCTATTTGCTATGTTAAGGGAAAGAAAGGATACCAGACTATTAGGACAGTCCAGGTTCTTGACTTCTCCAGTTACCATCTTTGTGATATTGGGCAATACAGTTCACTTTGCTGGCCTTTAGCTCCCTCAACTGAAAAGAGGGATAAAGAAAATGTGGTACATGTAATATATACGAGGTCTGTCTAGAAGGTATCCAGTCATGTAATATGAAAAATAGAGACCTTTATTGAAGAAGATACAAGATACAAGAAACACTGCACATAGGATAATGATGCCTCAGTCTCCTTCAAAGTAGGTGCCTTGGGACATCACACGGTTCACCCAGTCACCACCAGCTGCCCTGTGGTATTTTTCTGAATCTCATCAATGGTCTGAAATCTTTTCCTTTTCAAAAGTGATTTTAGTTTTGGGAAAAGCCAAAAGTCTCAGGGTGCCATATCTGGGCTATAGTGAGGCTGAGTTACCTGCGTCATTTGATGTTTTGCAAAAACTCTGCACAAGACATGATGCATGAACAGGCGCATTGGGGTGATGAAGCTGCCAGTCACCAGTTGCCCATAGCTGCGGCCTTCTGAATCATCCAAATAGTTTCTACAGAGGAATGTTCAAGTGTAACTCAAAATTTGATGCAGATTCATTGCTCTGTACTTGCTCAGTCATTTAGTCATTTTGAATGCGGCAGCCACACAATACACATACTTACACAATGCCGTCTACCGCCCCCACTGACTAGTACAGTGAAGTCATTATTGATCACACATGTGCATTCCAGTCCACTCTCCTTGGCTGCCAGGTTACATCAAGGTTGTGCAAACCATTCTCATTATATTAACAATGGATGGACTCTTCCTGGAAAGACCTCTTATATATCACACACACATATATAATATATACAATATATGTGATTTATAAAAAATAAACTATTATTCAGCCTCAAAAAATAAGGAAATTCTGCCATTTGTGGCAACGTGGCTTGCCCTTGAGGGCATTATACTAAGTGAAATAAGTCAGAGAAAGACAAATACCATATGATTTCACTTATATGTGGAATCTTTAAAAAAACCAAACAAACAACTCATAGATACAGAGAACGGATTGGTGGTTGCCAGAGGCGGAAGGCGGAGGGTGAGCAAAATGGGTGAAGATGGTCAAAGGTACAAACTTCCAGCTATAAAATAGATAAGTCCTAGGCATGTAATGTAACAGCATAGTGACTATAGTTAGTAATACTGTATTGGTTATTTGAAAGTTGATAAGAGAGATCTTAAAAGTTCTCATTACAAGAAAAAAAATTGTTGCTGTGTGGCTTGATGGAAGTTAACTAGACTTACTGTGGTGATTTGCTATATATACTGGGTTGGCCAAAAAGTTCATGGTTTCTTTCCTGTAAAATAAAAGACACATCATTCATTTTCACCAATAACTTTATTGATTTGGGTATTTTGAGTATGTTGGCTATCTCCCACTATTGACTTCTAGTGGGGAGAGGCCCGAGGTGCTGCTAAACATCTTTCAATGCATAAGACAGTCCCATAGCAAATAAGTGGCCAAAATAGCAATAGTACCAAGAATTTCACATACCACTCTTGACATGTTTCATCAGTCACAGCACCTTCTCCATATACGGCAGAAATCAAATCTTTTCTTTGTGTTTCAGTTGCATTTTTACCTTTCTTGAAATAATAAAGCATAATATGCCGAAAATGTGTATTTTCTTTCATCTTCAATATTAAAATGGCTACACAAAAATTCACCAATTTTGATTTTTAAAAAAAATATTTGATTTATTTTTAGAGAGAGGGGAAGGGAGGGAGAAAGAGAAGGTGAGAAACATCGATGTGCAAGATACATCGGTTGCCCCTCTCACACCCCCAGCTGGGGATCCAGCCCACAACCCAGGCATGTGCCCTGACTAGGAATCAAACCGGTGGCCTTTCGGTTCTCAGGCTAGCACTCAGTACACTGAGCCACACCAGTCAGGGCTGATAAGTTGTTTTTTTTTTAAATGCACACTTTGTGACAGCTGTCACAATAAAATCAAACGAAATTGTTTCAAATGAAGTTAAAGACAACTAAGCACTACTAGAGCCATCATACAGAAAAAAAACTAAGCTTGTTGGCCAACCCAGTGTATTGAATCATTATGTTGTACACCTGAAACTGATATGTTATATATCAATTATATATTAATAAAAATTCATTAATGAATAAATATAGAATGTGCTACATCCATAAAATGGAATATCATTTGGTAATAAAAAGGAATGAAGTATTGATATGTGCTAAAGGGTAGATAGACCATGAATACAAAATGCTACGTGAAAGAAGCCAGTCACAAAAGATGTCATGTTGTATTATTCCATTTGTATGAAATGCCCAGGGAAAAAAAAAGAAAGTAAAGTAAGGTGTTGGGCTCAATCCCAGGCCCTTTCACCTCTGGAATTATATAAGTGATTTTCATAGGATTGCACACTTTTAAAAGTGACTTTTAGACCTTAAGGATCACAGACTCCAAACCCTCATTTTAAAGATGAAGAAACTGAGGTTCCTCCAGGAGCATGGACGTATCCAAGCCCACAGACCCAGTGACGGAAATGTCAGGTGTTTTGGGGTGATTTCTTGGTGGTTCTGAAGTCTCGATAGTGTTACCATTATTTGGTATATTTGGTTGCACAGTGGCCTCTCTGTCTTTAGCTGTGACGACAAAACTTTAAGAAAGCTGTTTAGTTGAAAAGCTACCCTAACATTCTGAATTTGGGGAATAATCCGTTTCCTAACATGAAGCAGAAATAAACAAATCAGAGTTCCACACTGAAATTCCACAGAAGATGTTCGACTTTTCTTTTTTTGCCAAGACCTACAACAAAGGACCTACTTGAACATCTCCTTTGAAATAAAACCCCCTTCCTAGGAGATTTCTGTTTTCCCGAGACTCTCATAAGTCAACATTAACAGAAAAGAAAGTACTACTGTATTTCAGACAAGGGAATCAAGTCAGGGATTACCTGTAAATGATTTGCTGACATTTTTATCGCTGGAGTTTCTAATTATTGTTTCACATTTCCTTTTACAGGATAGCTAACGGCCAGGAGAAATAGAGTGGAAAATGCAAAACAACGAAATTATAAAACCTGCCAAATACTTCTCAGAATTGGAAAAGAGCATCCTGCTTGCTTTAGTAGAAAAGTACAAGTATGTGCTGGAATGTAAGAAAAGTGATGCGCGAACTATTGCCCTCAAGCAACGGACCTGGCAGGCACTCGCCCACGAATACAACTCTCAGCCAAGCGTGTCACTGCGGGATTTCAAACAGCTGAAGAAGTGCTGGGAGAACATCAAGGCTCGGACCAAAAAAATTATGGCCCATGAAAGGAGAGAGAAAGTGAAGCGCAGTGTCAGCCCCCTGCTGAGCACGCATGTCCTGGGGAAGGAGAAGATCGCCAGCATGCTGCCTGAGCAGCTCTACTTCCTGCAGAGCCCCCCGGAGGAGGAGGCCGAATACCACCCTGACGCTGCTGCCCCAGGTATCGGCTCTTGAGCCCGGCTTGCATGCTCTCACTGGGTACCTGTTCCACGTTTGAGTTGTAAAATCCTAGTTCTAAGGGACTTTATAAAAAAGAAATTTTCATCCAAAGGGTGGACAGTTTGAGTCCCTGTCAGGGCAGATGCCTGAGTTTGCAGGCCAGGTGCCCAGTAGGGGGCGCGCGCGAAGCAACCACGCATTGATCTTTCTCTTCCCCTCTCTAAAAATAAATGAATAAAATCTTTTTTTAAAAAAGCACATGTATAAGAAAAAAAGAGAGAGAAACTTTCATATCAAACTTGACTTTCCCAATTCAAAATTTCTGGATTGCATGGGACATTCACGTCACATAGTACATAAAAGAAAAAGTACTTGTTAATATCCTTGTGCTATCTCTTTAAAGAGAGCTCTCTTAGCTCTATTACTGAAGAATAAGGAAAGCTAAGGGGCTACATTAATGCAGTTGTCATTAATGAAGTACTTTAGTTGCTTATCTTGAGCTATCTCAAATATATTAGAGTGGACTTGTTTGAAACAAGATTTATTTCATTCAAGCTTTTTTTTCCCCCCAAAAAAAGTTTTTTGAGGACCTATAATGTACAAAGCACTGCATTCAAAAAGCTACATAAAGAAAAAGTCATTCAAAAGGCCACATTAAAATAGTGAACTATTTCAGACTTAAGAAAAGTTTTGAGACTAATAGAGCTAATGCCCATTTTAGCATTTACCCATATTACAAACCAGCATTTCCACCCATCATAGTGTTGTGATGTACAGTTTTGGTTTGTGGCACCTGAGGGGACTTGAGAAATTCTGGAAAAAATGTTTTTAGTTTTAATATACTTTCATTAGAAAAGAGAAAAACGTTATATAGAACTCTTACAGAAGGAAAAGATGGGCATATAATCAAGGAAGTAATGCTAGTATGTCATAGCTTTAAGAGGTTGGGTTTAAGGGGCTATTGAAATGTCTCCAGGCAGGAGGAGGGTGGGGAAATGCATATAGATACATGGCCAATAATTTCTGCCTCTTTTAAGATAAGAATGGCCAGTTTATATAAAGAGCCGTTGTAATTTGCAGAAGATACACTTCATAGTTCCTGGAAAGGCCAGAAGGCTGCTCAGAAGGTTCTCTAAGGACCCAGCAAGTATTTGCCAAGGAAAATGTGATTTTTGTTTTGCAGGATGAGAAATTCACTTATGAGTGTCCCAAGAGTAGATTGAGCTCTGAGGGACTGGTTAATTAAAAGTCACAGATGTTACCTGTGTAGAATGAAAAAGATAAATAACCAAGTGAACTGAATAACATTTTGATTAGCACATTTTTTTTTTCCTGTAGGCAGATTATCCTGGGAACCTAAATTACATAGAAATTTTGCTTGGTGATCATTTGACCAAGGCTAAGTCCAGGGAGCCAGTTGGGCAACCATAGTGGCTAATGTCATGAACATCATGCATCATTTTCCAGGGTAGGAACCCTGTGTCTGAATTTTGATTCTTGAGTCCTAAGTCACAGTACCTTCCAGCAAACAGTGTGTTATGTGGATGCTGCCAACTCTCTGTCTTGCCCCTTCTCATTGCTGCTTCTATGGAGAGGGGACCCACTGCTAGTAGACAGTGTCCTTGTTTTGGAGGTATTTGTAGCTTCAGCCAGTTACTCTCTATCTTGCTGGCTTTGGAGGTTTTCAGTCCCTGTGAGGTAGCGAAGGGGCTGGTGCTGGGGGAGGAAGCGAGGGAGGTGAATCAGCAGAGCTGCTTTTCAAATTGCTATGTTCCCTGAGAGATGTTGCCAAGGAAGATGCTGGTGTGGACTGCTGTTAGCTTACTTTGCGAATCTTTGATCTGTATGATTGTGTATTGACATCATAGGGTTATTCTAAGAGGACAGTCTTATTTTCCCATTTTCAAAATCTAGGGTAGGATCTAGAAAGTTCCTCCCATAAGTGTTTTTCTCTCCCTTTTTGGAGGAAATGATATTAATTCATGTATTCATAAGCACAATTTATAAAGTTCCAGCAAGAAGGGAATAAATACGGATTCACAGTGTCCTTCCTGTAGTAACATTTGCTAGACACTAACTTGTAAAAGGGAAGGATATTAAATTGGGTGTGTGTACATATATGACACACGAGACTTCTCTTTCTGCTGGTGATTATGAAAGTATAGCCAGATGCTACCTGTTCCTGTCTCCAGGTCATATCTGGGGGGAGATGGGGGACCATGGTGCTTTGTCAGTTGGGGAATGTGTCCAAAGGAATCTGTTAACGCTAGTAGATAAGGTACTAGAACTCTTTCTATACATTGAAACAGCTTTGGGGTTACTCCACTTGTTTTGTATTTAATTTGCTTTCAGGAAATGAAAAGAAAGCTGAAATTGTCAATCATTCCTTCTGGGTCCTGGTGGGAAAAAGGTTGAAAACCTGCAATAGGGTTGTGGCTCTCATTACGTCATGTGTATTTTGACACATGGAGTCTCTGTTATGAGTGTGTTTTACTTCCATTAGTATCTGTAACACTATTGTCCAATACAGTGGCCACGAGACCCATCAGGCTAGTAAACCCTTGAAATGAGGGTAGACCAAATAAATAAACACACTGAATCTTGAAGGATTAGTACCAAAAAGAAGAATGCAAAATCTCTTACTAATATTTTTAATATTGATTACATGTGGAAATGGTAATACTTTAGAAATATGGGATTTAAAAACATTTTACTATTAGTTTCACTTTTTTATGTCTTCAGTGGGGCATATGAAAATGTAAAATGACGTCTGTAGCTCATATTATATTTCTATAGGATAGCACTGTTCTAACACATTACAGGGTACATGTTATAGAATTAGGTACTCAGACAATTGTTGGGATTTGTTAGCCAGTATTCCACTAGAGGCCTCCCTCCAACAATTTTTTTTTTGTGTGAGATGATTGCAACTTTGTCATCTTGATCACTGTACCCTAGGTATTATTAGCTTTGTCAATGACTTTCTTGAAATGTACATCTGTATTTGAATGTTGGTGTTTTAAAATGAAAGTTTAACAGTCAGGAATTTTATTAAAAAACATATTTCCCCCTTAGATATATTAAAACACTTTATATTCTGCAGAATTATGATATGTGATCATTTGGTTTTGACACTTTTCTTCCATTTCAAGATAAATGAGGTTATCTTTGGGGAACAGGTTTGCAGAATGAACAAAGGGAGAACACAAAATTTGCTGGAAGTGGTCAGGACATGATGATGACTAAATAGCAAATATATTTAAGTAAACTAAGCTTTCAGGTAGTATTTAAATATCTTAGGAGAACTTATATTTAATTTCATATGCTGTTATTTACTATAAAGCTGTATTTGAATAATGTAAATGTGAGTACTCAAAGCTATAATGAACACAAACATTCCTTAATAAATTCCACTACTACCACTATATAATCCAACCCTATTCTTTTGGGGTGAGAACTCAAGTACAGGGGACTGGGTTATACTGCCAGTCATGGCACACTGGCATCACTGGTCTTTGAAAAGCCACCTTTTTGTATTACCCATGTATTTATTCCCTTTTTATCCCCATTCAGCACTTTCATTTTCTTCTCCTATCCCTTAATCATTCTAATATGGTTGTATATTCTCTAACATGTTCTTGAAAGCATGCATTGCTGTTTTGCGTGCATGTGTTTTTAATATACATAGATTAAAAATTGTGCTATAGATATCATTTTCTTGCCTTTTTTCACTTAGAGTAATGTTTTTAGGATCCACTCCCATTGTGGCATGTAAGTCTGATTTGTTCCTCTTAGAGGATGCACAGTATTCCACATAGTACAGCTACCACATCTTATTTATTCGTTCTCCCAGTCAGTCCCATTTCTTTTGTTCTATTGAGAAGAGCTGGGGTTTGGCCTGAACAGTTTCCTTCCCATTCTTTTACTGCCAGAGTAGGCTTTTCCTGCTGATATTAAATTTACTCGAATTGCCCAAATGAAAGAACACTCCCTTGACTGTGTTCTCCTGTCCCAGGAAAGCCCTTAGGCCTTCATATCCATTTTGCACAAGATTGCATTGTTTTCTTTTGGGGTGGCTTTGTTTTACCTGGGAGAGAGATTACAATGGGGGGGGGTTGTGTGTGTGTGTGTGTGTGTGTGTGTGTGTGTGTGGCACATTGACATGTGTGTGGGAGAGAGATTACATGGGTGTGTGTGTGTGTGTGTGTGTGTGTGTGTGTGTAGCAAGTTGCCATTCCCAGGCTAGTCTTTTTCCAGTTAAGAGAAGATTCTAACCATCTGAACCCTAGCTTCCATTCTTTGGAGCTAATATTTGTGTGAAAGTTAATTAACTACTCCATCGGGCTTCTCTAGGTTTAAGCCCCAGCTTCTGCCAGAGCTTCTCAAGAGGCTTGGCTTTTTAAATTTAAGAAATGTATGTTAGCACACATTTAAACTAAAATGAATAGTTTTAACGTATAGTCATTTCTGTGCTCCCGGACATGAACATACTGTCTTTATGTTCATAGCTCTAGAGAGAATTTTGGAGATCGAAATTCAGAATATGCATCCATACTCTTAATAATAGATGGTTTTCTAGTGGATACAACCTGGAGGCTGCATTTTAAGACACAGAAGTGATCAGCTGAGCAAGTGAGGTAGTGAGAGGCTAGCTGTTGTAATAGGTGAGCTTTGATTTTGCAATGATGAGGACTTGGCTGGGAATGCCGGTTCTTTCAACTAGCCAAATGGCTTTGGATGTTGTGCTTGGTTTTCTATAATAATACATCATTCAGAGGATCGTTGTAAGGATTAAATGAGGTAATGCCTGTAAAATAGAAGCTGATGTCGCCATCATCATCATCATTGTCATTATCATCATCATCATGTCCTTAAAGCCTAGAATTGTTGAGATAAAAACGAGCATTTAGATATTGGGAGAGAGGTGCAATAGTGAGGGCATGAACTCAGGCATAGCCTCTGGAATGAAATCAAAGAGAAAAGAGGCTAAAGGTACCAAAAAATATTTAATGTGTCCAGTCTTCAGAAAAGGCACTTTCAGATCTAGGACTAGAAAGGGAACAGATGAGGTAATCCTCTTTACAATTCACATCTGAGGGACCCTATTCTTAGTGCTAAGTGCTTTCCATTCCTTGGTCCCGAGCCAGGGCTGGCCACTCGGAACACACTGCTCTTTCTCCCTAGCTGCGCTGTGTTGGGAGGGATGGGAACCTCTGCAGCCAGTTCATCCCCCACGCATTTCCTACAAGCCCAGCAGGGTACCAGGCCCTGTGCTGGCTTCTTTATGAGGAGGAATAAGAGCTAGTCCCTGTCTTCAAAGTATTCAGAGACCCGAAAGGGAGGTAGTTAAAGTGCCAGCGTTCACAAGTGCTCTGGCAGATGTAAGCTCAAGAGGTGTTGGCGGCATGAAGGAGGGATATCTAGTAGAGGCCAGAGCCATTGGAGTTGGGGAGGATTCCTAGGGAGACACTTCATTATCTCTGGATGATATAGAAATACTCTTTTTTAACCTTCTCTTTGAGAAGTAAGATTTTTACCTTTTCTTTCACCTTCATTAGGGACTAGTTATGCTTGTTACATAACCCTTTGGAGTGAAATCATAAACAGTAGCCGCTTTCCTTATGTTAACAAGATTGGGAGTTATGTTCCCCCAGTAGCCATTAACATTCCCAGCATCCCATCTTCTGGAATAATGGAGTGGACACAATAATGTAACCAACTCTTGTGAATAAATTGATAGTATTTTTCTCCAAGGAGACAATTCTCATTATTTGAAGTATAAAGCTTCCCAAGAAAGCCTTGGAGTCATAGCTAGAAGACTCCATGGGATGGACGAGTTAGTGATTTCCTTATTGAAACTCCCTAATTGATACTAATGTTATTGTCCTATAAAAATAATGGTGTAAACGTGGCACCACCAAAAAGGGCATCATTTTGTATCCATATGCCCTTTTCCCTTTTTGTTCAAGGCTCCAGCCAGTAAATATTTACCAGGCATCCACTGCATACCAGGCAAAGTCATTGGTCCCAAGGATAAAAGAAATGAATAAGGCATGGTCCCAAAACAACACTAGTGCAGGGCGGGACAAACGTAGGTTTACAGGTGTGAGTACACAAAACATAGTTTATTCTTATATTATTATTTATTAATTGTTGTATTACTTTCCACACGATTGACTGTAAGCCTACATTTGCCTCAGCCTGTATGTGTTAAGTGTAGTTACAGAATAGTGAGTGTAGGGAAAGGAGAGAGCTGAGGTTTCACAGAGCAAGTGGCATTGATCCTGAATGAAGTCACAGTTAGGGGAGAGGTTGAAAGAGGGAGGTTGGAGCAGGAGTGTGTGTTTGAGTGAGTTGGGGGGACAGATAGTTAAGGCCAGGCTGAAGGAACAGTGAGTCAGAATTATGAAAAAAAGCATGGTCTTTAAGAATGTGAGTAGTTTGTGGTAGGGTTGAAAGGTATGCAGGGTATTTTGAAGAGGAAGGCAAGAAAGATAAAGGAGGGTTAGATCCAGATTATGAGGGTGGCTTAGGGTGGATTGAAAACAGTCACAGAGAAGAACCTCAGGGGAATATTGAAAGGTAAGAGGTGGAGCAAGAGTCTGAGTCCCAAAAAGAAACTGGAAAAGAAGCAATCGGAGAGGAAGCTGCAGAAAATTTAGGAGAGGGTGATGGTTCAGAAACAAATCGAGAGACAAAAAATTCAGAAAGTATCACAAGTGCCAGGGAGAGGTTACATAAGAGGGACATTCACAAGTGTCTTTGGATCTATTTACCCCCAGATGGCAGTGTTAGAAGTAACAGCCAGAGGCAGGAGACTGAAGAGAAATAGCATGCTGAGGAAGTTAAGCCGGGGAGGGTAGACTCATTTTTCAAGGAGGAACATTTGTGAGATAATCATCCGGGGAAGGGTAGGGACCAGGAAATAGAGCAATGGCCCCGTGTGGCTGAGGCACCTGTGTTCATGGCCGGATGAGAGTGAGAAAGGGAGATGCGACTGAGGGAGAACGTCATCTGGAGACCCACGGTTGGCCTCGCACTACGGTCTTCCGCTCTTTCGGGGCCACGCACACTTCAGTTTAGAACCTATATCAACATAGCAAGGTCGTTGGTTCTTGATAAACGGAGTCTCTGACCACTGTTCCCGTCTGCAGTTCTAGCAATGACATGAGGAAATGCTTTATCATGACTTCTTAAGGGAAAATTGCTTCGGATTTATGGGTTGAAAAAAAGTCAGGTGTGGCAAGGGCACCTGTAGACATGCAGGCCAAAGCAGATGCCATTTCGGATACATCCTGTAATGGGGGACCCTGTCATTGAAGTAGGATGATTGACTCTCTGCCTGTAAAATCCTTGAACATATGTTTTCTGCTACTGTTTTTCAGAATCATTTGCTGTTTCAAATAGAGAACTGTGCGATGATGAGAAAGAGTTCATACATTTTCCAGTGTGTGAGGGGACCTCTCAACCTGAACCCTCGTGTTCAGCTGTCAGAATAACAGCCAATAAAAACTACAGGAGCAAAACCTCTCAGGAAGGTGCTTTAAAAAAGATGCATGAGGAAGAACACCATCAACAAATGTCCATCTTACAACTGCAGCTGATACAAATGAATGAGGTGCATGTGGCCAAAATCCAGCAGATAGAGCGAGAGTGTGAGATGGCAGAGGAGGAACACAGGATAAAAATGGAAGTTCTCAATAAAAAGAAGATGTATTGGGAAAGAAAACTACAAACTTTTACCAAGGAATGGCCTGTTTCCTCATTTAACCGGCCCTTTCCCAATTCACCCTAAGACTGTGGGGGTGGCTCCCTTGTGATTAATCTGTGTTGGCAAAGAATGTCTGGAACATGAACTTGCGGTCAGTAACCTGTAACAGAGCTACAATTAGGAAACTTAGAGTGGTAGTAGTCACTTATTTAAGAATACATTCAGGTGAACAGTTGCACCTTCTTACACGGCAAAGAAGCTGTTAGAGTCTTCTGAAAATTATCATTATGAGTGCTATAATTCTGAATGTAATGTCTCCTAATTAGAAGTCATACAAGAACCATGTGTGAGTGTTGTTTTGTTTTGTTTTTTTAATCAAATGCAAGTGTGGCTATAAAGGAGTGTGGCTGATTTCTTTTTTTTTTTAAATAGACAGCAGAACTTTTCTACCCAAATGAACGCCCTCCCATCGAGCGTGGCTGTCCCGTTTCTCCAGTGGCGAAGCTGTCACTCAGCCCTTGGCAGAGGTCTTTGGGAACCTCCATGAGAGCTGTAGTGCCGTGTTCATTTTTTTGGTGGCATCTGCTGAGTGTGGACTTTCTGATTTTAAACAGCCCAGCATTGGGAAGGATATTTTCTCATGTGGCTCCTAAACTGCCTTTTCAGGTGTTTCCCCAAAGAGGTATTCAAATCATGTCGCCAACAAAGGTAGCTCTTTTGGAACGAAGGATGTAGCTACTCTGAGGGAGAAATGTTCATTTAGATTTCTTCATTCTGTCATGTTTGTTTTATTAAAAGAAAAGACTTGCAATTTTATAGTCACACTGTGTATGTTCTTTAAAGGTGCTGCCTCCCCGCTGTGCTCCAGGCTTGGCCTTCCCTCTGTAGTTTCCTCCCTACTTTGTACTACTGAGTTAATGGCTGCCCTTGTTTTTAACCTTTAGCCACCGGGGGATCCTTCCCTCACCATGCCCCGAGTGCTAGCTGACAGTAATGCTATATAGTTTACATTACGCAGTGAGCGTTGGGCTTTTTTTAAGAATCCATTACCAATATATTTGGAAATATGGATTGATAGATGGATATTTTGGTTGAGCTGTGATATAGCTTCTCCTGTAGCCTAGTGTTAAAAACAGCCCTAGAAGTTGGGCATAGCAGTAGCTGGCAGAAGTGAAGGGACACTTAAGTGCCAAAGCCGGTCAGCAGTTTCTGAGAATGAAATTTCAAGGCCATGTGGTGGTGAAGGAGGAATAGATATGGCAGAAGCTATACAGGGAGTGTAGGACTTAGGAGTCGGGGCCTGAATTCTGAGTTCGGTTCTGTCTTAAGTGCTCTCTGACCTTGGATATCTTTTAATCCTTGGCTGTGGTCTTTCCTTTCCATAAAACAAGGGAGTTGGTCAAGATAATGTTCAGAATTTGCTACAACTCCTTGACTGTAGTGTGGTCCACATAGTCCTGAATGGGTACTGCTAACTCTGTAATTGTCCAATGGCACGGGTCAGTAGTTTACAGCATTGGCTAAGCTTCCCTCCTTCACAATTTTGGAATTTGGGTCTTAGGGACTGTTCAGTAAGGTACACATATACTTGTTATTTAAGCACTGCAAAAAACAAATGGCCAACAATTTGTTGTGTACATTATCATATTATAAATCTCTTAGAGGAACTGGTTGTATATAGGAACCCTGTGAAGAGCCGGCTTCTTTGAAAGTAAAGATCCTTCTGTAAGGATCTGTGTTTTTAACTTAAGCTTTTACCAAATGGACCTTTTAGTGAGGAAGCATCTGGATGAAGTTCCAAATGCCAATGGTTTAGGGGAGACAGGATTGACTTTCCATGCTGTCCGGCCCCCTCGGGAACAGGTGTGCAGTGAGAAAAATTTGCCTTTGCTTCACCTATCCATCCATCTGGAAATCTTGTTAAGACACAGATTCTGGAGATGGACCTGAGATTTTACATTTCTCACAAGCTCCCAGGTTATGCCAGTTCTGCATGTCTGGTCACCACACTTCTTGGTAGCGAGGTTTTAGAGGACCCTTAGCTGTTTTCTGGAAAAAAAAAAGTTAGGTACATTTTTGTGTACAGCATTGTGCTGGGTATTATTCGCTAAGAATCAGCCACTTAAGGGTACAAACAACAATGTAGAACACAAACAAGTGCTCGCCCACATAATGGAACTATAAAAGCATCAAACTAAATTCTTAACTGAACAAATCAAGGATAATTAAGCAAGCGGCCTGAAGCACCTTGTTCTACTGTTAGTGGCATTTATGAGTTTCCAACAGTAGTTTTCAACGTTGGCTATGTGGTAGAAACAGTATTTAATAAATGATTAATCCCACTGGGTCCTGCTCCCAGAGGATTCTGATCCAGTTGACCTGGGTTGGGGCCTGGTCCGCTACAGTTTTTGGCATCTTTTCAGGGAATTATGATACATAATTGGGATTGACAACCACTGGGGTAGACTTCACAAATGCGTCTCATTTGATTCTTAATCCTGTGAAGTCAAGCAGAAGTGAGGAAATTATGCTCAGAGAAGAAACACCTGACTAGTGAATGGCAAAGTAGAGCCTCGGTCCTAGATCTCTTGACATGAAGAGAAATAGTTCACCTGACTGCCCCTGTCCTGTCCCTCAAAGCTGTTATCATGGATCTGCTATAACCTGAGAGCCAGATCATATTTGCAGAGCACCTGTAGTGTCTCCATTCAAGGACAGCTCTATCTCAATTCATTTCCCTTTTAAGCAGTTACTTACCTGAGGTGGAAATGCAACAACCATTTCTTGGTAGGTGCTCTAGAGAATTGGCAGATAAATATTGACACAGTTCACCATCCTCTGCCCTGCCCAATCATGGACACAGCCCATTAGGAGAGCGAAGGCTTGGACACAGCTGTCATGCCCTCGATCAGTGCCTGCCTTCAAGTGCATCGGTAGCTCAGAGCACAGAGCTAAGAAACTTGAAGGAAAGCTTCCCAGAGGAGGTGACATTTAAGATATTGTCTTTAGACCTGGCATTTTAGCAGGTGGGGATTTGGAAAGGAGAGGAACTTCACTAGATGCAAAGTCCCATTGAAGATTCAAGATGATGAGACATAAATGGGAAGCAATGAGAACAAGGGAACTTTTCATATTATGCAGTAATGTGATCAAAACTGTGCTCCAGGAGGAAGATTAGAAGACAGAATTGAGTTTAGAGAAGACTGGGGTCCAAGAGATGAAGGAGGAGGGTTTGGCCTTGGTTAGGATGAGACAATAGAAGGACCTAGAGGAGGCTGCAGTAAAAACCAGGGAGACCAATGTGAAGGGCATTGCAGAAGTGGAATCAGGCAGGCTTGGCATTGCTTTTGTGGGGGAGGAGAAGTCAAGTTTAAAGCTAGATGCCTGAAAGAATAATGCTGCCTCTTGAAATAAAAGGAAGAGAGAATGCATTTCTGACTCTGACCTGTCTTAAGGGAGATCTACACATAAACTAGCGCAATTGCCTCCCACTCAGCCTCAAACATACTGGTACCCCCTCTCATCTCCTCTTTGGCTGTCACTACTTTGCTCTGACTTCTGTAACTTCGGCTGCCTGTACTGTCTCTTTTACCTGTTCAGGTGACTCCAGCCCCTCCCTGCTGGGACCTTGTCACCCCGCTCGTTTGGTACTGCCTCTGCCATCATCACCTCCATCGCAGCTGCTGGTGCGTCAGTCACCATCTCTTATAGTAACTTCATACTAGAAGGAGCCAAAAAGATTATTTCTTTACCTCGAGCTTCAGTTCTTTTCTAGACAGTTGGCATCCACACATTTCATTTTTGAAAATGCCCCCTGTTGTATAACGGAGCATAGGCCAAGAGTGGCTGTGAATCCCCATGTTTGCCCGCGGCAGCCCCTTTACAAAAATTGGACATGGAATCCTACCCTGTGATGCATCAAAAATTTAGGAAATATTTTAGGAATTTTTCAGGCCTGCACAATCTTAAAAATGCATTTTTTTTTAAGAAGCAAGAACAGAGGAACAGAGGCAGCCTGGTGGGTATGTGCATTTGTGTTGTCAACAGCCTCTGCAGTGTCAGATCAATCACATCAACACTTGGTCTGGACCAGGAGACAGGAATGGTCCTGCCTCCTGGGAATGTCAGAAGGACCTGATAATTATATTTGGCAAAGCCATGAAGAGTGGCTCTGTAATGTCATTGCTAAGAATTACCCTTTAATAGCATTTCTGGATGTCTGAGCTTTTCAAGTGGAATGACACTCCTTTTATGCTGTGACTGTCCTTTCTGTTGGGCTGCTTCCCAGGTGGTCCTCCTGTTCTTTCTCGTCCTCGCTTTGGTGTCAGTCTGTTTTGTTTTTTTTTTCTCTCTTCCTCCTTCCCAGCCCTGCGTCTCCACCCCCTCTGTCTGTACCTACAGTGATCCTCCTCTTTCCTGTTTTAGAGATGTAGTCATGTGAGAATGTGTGTGAGCGAAATACTTGCCAAAGGACAGCAGATCGACATCTGGTATCAGCAAGGTGAAGTGTAGCCTTAGACTGGCCGAACTACCGATGACTTGCTTCCGCGCTACATCTGTTGCTTCTGTGTTGGTGGGATTCAGCAGTCGTGGGAAAGGTCGCCAGCGATCAGTGACTACAACACATTCTTTTCCTAATTGTGCCATATATTATGCCCTTCAACAAAACTTACTAATCTCTGCCTCAGTTTCTCCATCTGTGAAAGTGGTGTAATACTTATCTACCTCCCTTGAATGTTGTGAAGATTAGTCTGTTAGCAAAGCACTTTTGAAATAAAGAGTGATGTAAAGCATTTTAACATTATTGTTGTCATTGTGATATGGATGCCCTCCTGTAGAGATGCTGCCCTGCAGGGGAAGTACCCACGTATGCCATGGTTTAGGAAGAGCCAGTATAGAAAAATTCCATCCAGATACAAGGGTGTGAATATTTGTGAAAAATTTCAATATGGCCTCTCCTTAAATAGCCCTTTGGTGCATTTAGCATGAGATTCAATTTATAGAAGGGTGATTTACATACGATTTTTAAAGAACACATCTATTGAACTTGTATTACCCACTGTAATTATTAGATTTAAAAGCCAAGTATTAACCTAACGGTGCAGTTTATCATCATTAGATGGGAAACTCCTATTTCTACATTAGTCAGATCCCCAGATTGTGTGCAGAGTTTCTCTCACTGTTGCCACTGATTGGAATGGGTTTCTTGGGGGAAAAAAAATTCAAGTTTCATTATCATACC